GATTTTATTTTTATATTTGAATTAGAAAATTTTAATAATAAAAATATTCTAGAAATATTTCAAAAAGTAATTTTATTTTAACTTGGTTAAATTATATAAACTAAATATATTTTAAAATATTTTTAAAATATTATTTGATTTTCTTTATCTATAATAATATATTTATTTTTTTCTATCTTTAAAAAATCCACACAATGATCAATAGCAGTTATATTAATAATACTTTTTTTATCAAAATATCGAAATAATTTTATATATTATTTTTTAAGATTTCTATATTTCTTACGCAATGTATATAAGCTAATAAATTTGTTTTATTTTCATATTTATGAGTAAAATAATATAAAATTTGAACATAAAAATCTTGTTCTTCAAAAACAACAGGTGCTTTTGGATGATGTGCATTTTTATTAACAAGAAATTTTGCCTATAATAGTTATAAAATATTTATATTTTTTATAATTAAATATAATTACAAAATGTTTTATAATTTAAAAATAATTATATACTGCAATTGAATAATTGTTTCTTTTTATGTCTTCATCATTATTAGAAAATAATGAACTAATAATTGATTCAGATTTTGTTTTTAATTTGCTGTATTTGTAAATTTTAGTAGTATTAATCTAAATTTTTTAAAATATATATAATTTAATTAAATTTAAAAAATATAATAAAATATAAAGTAGATGCAATGCCACTATATTAGATATATTTTATAATAAATAAAAATATTTACCTCTATATCTTTTAATAGTAAATTAAATTCAGTTGCATAATATTGTTTAATTTTTTGAATTTCTTCTTTTGTTATTATATGTTCTTTTGATAAAGAAAATAATTTTTTTTATTAAAAGGTTCATTAAAACTTGATTTAAAAATTTGCTAATTATATTTATTATTATATTGTAAATGTGCAAAACATGTCCATATAGTTAATTGGTTTATTAAATTTTTATATAGATGCACATGAGAATTAACTAAAAGAATTAACATTTTACATAATCTTTCTATTAGAAATTGTCATGTTGCCCATGCTGGACCAGTTTCATAAATCGATTCTGCAATATGTAAAAGATAATGAAAACTAACAAGAGCTGCTTATAGATGTTCAGAATTTTTTTAATAATATTCTCTAAAAAAAAATATCAATTAATATTTATAAATTTAATAAAAATTAATAATTATTTATAATAATAATTTTTTAAATTTATAAATTATTAAAACTAATTACTTTTCTGGAAGATATTTATGCAAAAGT